ATAGTCTCTACATTGTAACTAACACTGTATGAATTATCTCTGTATATTTATCTTTCAAATCTCAGTGCCAGTGGCTATGCTGCTGATTGTACTATACAGTGGTTAGGACATTAGCTCCAGGGTTAGTCTCCCAAAGCTTGAAACTTACTAGCTAAAGGCTACTAATCATTTGATGTCATTTGGTTTCAAAAATCTGTGGAATGGGGATGACAGTACCTACCGCCATAGATTGTTCCAACTAACACAGACAGTGCTTAGAACACGCAGTAAGCATTACCTAATGTTACCAGTGCTACGACAATGGGAGTTTAGGTTTCTTAAACTGTAGTTTCTTTCACTTTTGAATTAAGGTAAATTCTCAGGAGAGAGGCCTGTGGTTCAGAAATCATCAACACCCGTGTGGACTCTTTGCTCTCACTTGAATTGGTCCCAAGACTTAATAGGCTTCTAGAATGAAGACCTGTTCAAGCTACTTAGGGTAAATTGACTGGCAAATGCCTTCTCAAACACTATTTCAGGGTAACCCCCCTTCTACCAACATACTTGGGGCTTTAACACATTTCCTCCATTTACTTTTCTTCACTGGTAGAACTTGATAAAACTTTGATTTGCAGAGCTGCTTGTAGGTTGTGCTCGATGGAGACAGTGACTCTCCCAAGATCAGCCCATCCCAAGTGCAATGTGCCACGGAGGGCACTGAGGAGGAAACAAGGCCATGTGGATAGTTGTGGATATAAATTATTTGTGTGTGTACACATGTATATGTGTGTGGGCTTAAGCACCATGGCACACGTGTAGAGGACAGAAAACAATTTGTGGGAATCCATTCCCTCTGGAGTCACCACGTGAGTTCCAGGGATCTAACTTAGGTCATCAGGCTTGGTAGCTGGTGCCTTTACTGCTGAGCCATCTCACCAGCCCCTTGTTAGTTTTTAAAACTAGTCTTTCTCTCTATTGTACAGGGTATGCTTGCAGTTTGGTTCTGAAGACAGCTGTTAATAGTTTAGCTATGCGGTGCCTTGTCTCTCAAAGAAACTCATGTGTTGCAGGCTTGGTTCCCAGTGCAGCAATGTTCTCAGGGAAGTTTTTGGGAAGTGACTGGCTGATGAGGGCCCTGCCTTCATCAGTGAATAAATTTGATGGCATTATTGGGGGAGGGTAGTAGGAAGTAGGAGGGGTGGGGTTAGTTGGAGAAACATCAATGGCCTGCAAAGATATAACCTTGTCCCCAGCCCCTTCCTGCCTTTCCTCTTTGCTTCCTGGCCACAAAGTAAGCAGTTTTCCTCCACCAGCCTTTCCACCTTGTCACAGGCCTAAAAACAATGGATTAAAGCCTACGAATCAAAATGGGGGATGAAAGGGAAGGGTTGGGGAGGGATAACACTAAAGATCTTTGAAAAAGTTATATGGAAACCTACTGCAGTAGAAGTTTCCTAAAATATATATGAATACATACATAAAAAGTTTCAGGGACTGGAGAGATGGCTTAGCAGTTAAGAGCACTGGCTGCTTTTGCAGAAGACCCAAGTTTGATTCCCAGCACCCACATAATGGTTAACAACCATCCACAACTTCAGTTCCAGGGAAATTCAATGCCCTCTTCTGACCTCTGTGTGCACTGCATGACACAGGTGCACTTAAATACAAGCATGCAATACACTCATACACATAAAAATAAAAATAATAAAAATGAGGTAACCTATAATGGGGGGGATGATACACCCCCTAGACACCATAGGCTATCAAATAAAAAGTCCACTACCAGGAATGGGTTACTTCTTTTCGGAATTGTTGGTCAGTGAGGGCCTGTACACAACTCCCCTCCTTGCCCCCGTCCCCAAAAAATTACAGGCTATTGCAGTTGCTCTTGGTTAACCTCCAGAATTTGATGGTAAGATCCTCCTGCTGAACACCCCATAAACTTGAGTCATAGAACTTGGAGAAATCAAGCTGATACTGACCTGGAAGCTTCATCCCTATTGGCTAGCTTTCATAATGCCGGAAGGTGCTATGCACACTTTTGGAAGAGAAAAGTAATCATCAATTTTACTAAGCTGTGAACCCTCTGGGATTCAATAATGACAATAAGATTTGTCCACTGGGACAACAGTGGCCTGAATGTTAGGGGGGAGTAACCAACCACTTTCTAATTGAATTTAAGGCTTGTTCTACGAGATAGAACCGACTCCTGGCACCATTATCAGGGTCAAGACTATGTGGTTAGTGGTCATAGGCCAAAGGGGAGAACCTGCTACTATTATTCTGCTAGATGGACATAGCATTAAACTGACTCCTAATGACTTGTTGCTATACCCATAGATTAGTGCATCTCTCAACCTTCATCAGGGAAGTTTCTTTTCTTCAGTAAATGGTGATTAACACAGAAACCTGCAACTGGTAAACATCCAGAGGAAAAGAGACTGCAGTGTTCAGCCCTAAATGCAATACCTATATCACATTCCTCCTCCTAAGGCTCATGGATCACAGTGGAAAAAAAGGCAGAAAGATTTAAGAGTCAGAAGTGAAATGACTACATTGAAATCCTCCTTTCTGGAGACACAGTGCAGTTGGACATACGAACTCAGTGTTGTTACCATGTGCACAAGACCTATGTAAGCTATAGCCAGACGAAACCCCAGCATAGATGGGGGAGGTAAGCAAAAAGCCCCAGCCCTAGCAGAGGATCTATTGGCAATTGATATCTGCTGGAGAGGAAGAGTCAGTTTTCTTTAAGGGTGTGACCCCTGGTAGGTCAACCACTCTCCAGTGGGTGGCACTACACCCTAGAGTAAGTATAGTTACTACAAATTAGACTCAATAAATTATTTTTTTAAAAAGGACATAAAATTGGGGGGTATAGGAAGGTAAAGGTGGATTTGGGAAGAGGAGTGGGGGTGAATATGATCAATATGCACTGTATGAAATTCTCAAGTATTTAGTGAATATATTTTACAAATACAGGGCAAAAGCCTCTCTCCTTTAAGGACAGGTATGTGTCACAGGGAAACAAGGTCTGACAGGACAGCCCCTGCTCCACAGCCATCACAATTATTCCAGCACTTTTGCTCTCATGGCAGTGACCCTCATAAGAGCAACTCCTGAAGGTGGTCTCAAAAGGTGAGCATACAGACACCGAGCTCTTATAACAGTGGAAGAGGGAAAGTATACAGTTAAAATCTTAACTGTAAAAAATGTACAGGTTAAATCTTAAAGGTATGATCACAACATCCTAACACCATCAGAGCATCATACATGTTGTTAGGTACAGTTACTCTGTGCTATCCACCAGGGACCGGTTCCGGGACACAATGCAGTTACCCAAATCCACAGTGCTCAGTAAGAAACTGTACATTTGTACAGAACCTGCACATACCCTCTAGTAAACATCTCTGGATTACTTAATAAATATGATGATACAAATGTTATATAAACAGCTATATTATATTGTTTAGGGATGACCAACAATGTTTAGCACATGTCAATTTTTTTTTACTGAATGTTTTCAATCCATGGTTTGTTAAAATAATGGAGACAGAATCTGTGGATATGGAGGACTAATAACTGTATTTTGTCTTAGAACTTCCAAAGTTTTGTTTTTACAGAGTAAGAACACGTAAGAAAAATATATTCTTAAGTAGGCAATAATAGCCTTTGAAAAATCTCCAATTACCCCATCTCCTGGTACTGGACAATGCCCTAATGATGCCACTGTTCTCAGAGGTGTTAACTGAGGGTAAGAATGGGTTTTAAGCCCTGTTGGGCACAAACTCAAGCTGACAACTCAGAAGACACAGAAGCAGATGTAGAGCAGGCTAGAGCTGGATGCAGCCAGTGTGCAGTTCATTTGAGCTCCTCTTTGACATGATGCAGCTGTGTGAGCTGCAGCCAAGTGACGCTAGTATACTGTAGAGACACAGCCTCCTCTATGAGTAAACGTGTATGCACACATGCACAGGACAAGTCACCTTAAACGGTAGCAAGAGCAAAAGATGTTTTGGCTTAGCACAAAGGGACTTGTCCTGCAGAGGTCCAGAGAGATGGGGGTTGGGGGACACGTTGTGTCCTGCCGTAACAGGCACACTGTTGTCCTTGGGGAGGAGTAGTGATTGCGGCAGAACATCAAGGTAACAGACCTGTTCTCAGCTCTAGGAGGAGTGTTCTAGCTAACACTATCTGCATTAGCCTTCCGAGACACTGTGCTCTTCCAGGAGACACTGTGCTCTTCCAGGAATCCCAGAGTCAAGATCATGACTGTAGTGTCTGTGCTGGGGCACAGATCCTATTTAACATCAGATCTATGTAATAAACATTTCCCAGCCTTGTTTCCAATATTCCACTGTGTGGAAAATCACCACTGCACTATTTCTCCATAATGGAAATTTTATCAAGCAAGTATTAGACACTGAAAAGCTCTACGGAATTCACCAGGGTTCTTTTACCCTGACTAGGGACTTTCCAAGCAAGTCTGACCTACTTCAAACCAGTCAGCATTCAAAACTAAGGTAAAGAATAATAGTCCAGGATTTTCAGGGGAAAATGAAGGGCTGGGTGTGGTAGGGTAGAAAGAAAGGTTGTATGAGCTTTTTTTCATACATAAATTATAATGTACATTTAAAGATACTATAAGAAAAGATAAAGCCTCTTTAAAATATGGTAATATCAGACAAAAAACGGGACTGTTGAAAAGCATTTCAGAAAACAGACTGCATTAAAATTCCATAGTGGTACCTCATCAACATGATCTATGTTATATGGCATGTCCTGGTCAGGGTGGGGCATGGCTGACAGGGGGAAACCCAACATGCCACCTGGGTATGAAAGATGTGTTGGCAGGATAAGATGTGATGACCCAAATATGGAGAACTGAGCTCCTTCCAACTTAATATTCTAGAGGTTGACTTACATGTATTATAGTTAAGATGACCTCACTGTTCACTTTATTTTCAGAAAGTATCTTTGAGGGCTTTACTACTTACTAAAATCTTTCCTACTATTGAGGAGAAAGTCTCTGACCTGCACACTAACAGGGGCACTGAGTGCCTCTGCCAGTGAATCCAGACCAGTAGACTCTCCTTGAGGACTCTAGCACACCAGGACAAAAGTTGTATCGAGATGGGACTTTCATCTCCGTTTAAGTAGGTCTATTTCCTGAACTTGGCTCCAGTGTCATAGGCAAGTTGCCCACTGTGCAAGAATACAAGTACTCTGACAGGAACCATCCTCAATAATTCTGCTTATGCCAGCTAAACAATGTACCATTAAATAAGTCATCTTCTGATTATATTTATGAGATATTATGTCTACATAGCAATGAGTCTGCAGTATTTAAACATTCAAGAAGGCTCACTGAACCTAACTTCTCCCCCTAACTGTTCTGTTTTCTACGTAGTTTGACTGACAATCATATGCATTCCCCAGAGACTCTGATGTTGTGGAAGAACCATGAGTTTGTGCAGCAAAGAGGAGAGTGCTGTATCTGAGATAGCAACAAGCATTCCGAGCACCCTCTCAGTATGTGTATAAAAGAAGAAACAAGTCCAGAGAAGTTGAAAAGTACTCAAATTCTTCATGGGTTCCAATGTGTGCTGGGGACTTATGTGAAGGAAAAACTGAGTTCACTGTTAACAGTGTGTTTCCAAATCCTACACTGTATGTTTCAAATTCAGCCAGAAGGCAGCCCAATCTCATCTGTACGCCAAAGAGGCCCTCTAAGCATCCCTGATTACTGGGATGAGTGCTACATGACAGATGCTCCTAGAAGCCACTCAGTGACTTCTGCAGGTAGGTAGTGCACAAAATGAGGAAAAAGGAAAGTAAATGCTTTTGTCCACAAAGAACTTGTAACCTGGTCATGAACCATAATTAATACATAGGGAAGATCATAAAGAGTTTAGAAATGGCAAAACATTAAGTACCAATTCAGAACACAAAAATGGCTTAGTTGCAACAGTATGCCCCCAACAGCCATATGTGGATGGAACGCATCTGTTTTTTGTATCTCATTTGTCCCTTGGCACAACTTGGAAGAAACTATTCTCCTTCATCAGTTGCAGTGGTGCCCAGGATCCTACAATCATTGACATGGGGTTTGGAAAGCAAGGGGTTTTTTCCTTGAATGGGTGTGACCAATAGTCTGTAAACCCACTTCAAAGAAAACAGTCAAAGGACATAGCCATGAAGTCCTTTGGAGAACAAAGGAAACTGTCCACCTCAATTTGTGACACCCTGAGACCTCTTTTATACAAAGAATTGGAAGATTTTTATCTCCGGCTGATACGACTTCAAAATAAATACATCCTGGATACTTTTCCTTTTCCAACTTTCCTTGTTGCACACAAGAATGAGCTGAGAAAGTTAAAGGTCACAAGTAGGTGGAGGTTAGTTACTTCAAAGGCACTAAGGCTTGGGGGTCGGGTCCGAGCAGGCAAAGGCTGACAGGGGAAGCGCAGAGCACCCAAGCTGGCACTGGTGCTGACTCAGAAGGCCTCATGGGGTAGGCTTCTACTAGCCTGAGGTTGAAACATTCCCTTCTTTCCTTTCAGCTCAAGTATTATGGATAGAAAAAGAAAACTAATGTAAAAAACAAAAGGAAGCTCTTTCAATAGGTTTAGTTCTCAGCAAGAAAAGGCCTTTCAGGACTTATAGCTTATGTTCCCAACTTGTGCCTATGGGCAGTTCATCTTTAGAGCCAGCTACAGAAACAGTGCACTGTCAGGTTTTAGAGTTACAAGATCAAGTGTAGCCTGTGGTACCATCAGACTTACAAATTAGTTCCTGTATGAAATGAAATGAAATCGGATACAGAAAATTAAAGGGAGTTCCTAATAATCTTCATCAGTCATCCAGTTAAAGATGGAACCTTGGAGCTACAGAATGATAAATACCACACACCAGAAACCCATGCACAGCCTTGAAGCACCTGCTTACTCCAGTGACTCCTGAATAGAATCTATCTAACACCAAAATACCTTGGTACTTTCTGAATGTATCTTATGGGACAAACCATAGTACATAGTCTGTGTGATCCCTGCCTTTTAAAGGTGAAGACCGATCAGCCTTTTATGCTACTTAGGTTCAATTCTCAGGATCTACTTGCTTCAAAGGTAGCTGGGTAGCTGGACAGATGCTAGGGGAAATGTAATTGGCCAAATGTAGCACTTTGCTCCACTTATGTCAGAAGCTAGGCAAGAAGACTGAGACTATGCGGTGGGGTAAGGGGAGAGATATAGCAGGGTGGGGAGCTGCTCTTCTTCCATTTTAACAATTTCAGTGCCTTTCTTCCAAAGTAAGGTGAGGAGGTTTTAAATTTTGAGACACTGCCTGCTGGGACTGACTGCAAAGCAGAAGGCATTTCAGTTTTACCCCATATGCTGGCTTGTAAGGAGCCCGTACTGTCTTGGTGCTATAATGTAGTGAAATATATTCAAAATGAACAACAATGGTTGTTGCTTAGTATAGCTCAATCACTGTGCGAGGCATGGGCATAAAGGGATGAGAAAACTACTTCTGACTTCCAGGAGCTTCCAGGGTAGTGAGACTGACATGTGTAAACACGATTAGTGAAGATGAGGTAGGCATCCTCAGGGTGTTCCAAAGGCAGAATGTATCCCACCTGGATCAGGAGGTCCCTGCAGGGAGAAGACAGACAGAGTAGTCTAGAAAGGTGAGAAGGGTTCAGCCAGGTTAATGGGAAGCAAAGAAATCCAAGGCATTGGAAGCTATGAGAGTGAAGGCAGAGAGAAATGACGCAGTGTGGCATCAGGAACTCTGCTTGTGCTTCAGTACTGAAGAGGTCAGATCCAAAGACAGGAGTGCACGGGGATCACACTGAGGAGGCAAGTCACCTTGGCCTTCTGTGTCCTTTTACAAATCCTGGATCTTTTCTTTGAAAATTATGGTAATGGGGTGTGGTAGCAACAGAGTGGTTTTTATTTTTTTATTTTTTTTTATGTTTTTGAAACAGGGTTTCCCTGTAGCCCAGCTGTCCTGGAACTCACTATGTAGACCAGGCTGGCTTTGAACTCACAGAGATCCACCTGCCTCTGCATCCCAAGTGCTGGGACTACCGGCGTGCGCCACCACACCCGGCTAGAGGTGTGTATTTTATCTAAAGCTCTCTGGATAGTTAGGAAACAATGAAACAATGTGAGGGATGTAAGACTAGACAGGACAGGCAACTGAGGGGCTGCAAAGTAAATGGGCAGACTAAGCAGTGATAGCAGGAATGGACAAAGCGAGCAGATTCTAGAAGTAGTTAGAAAAAATAAATAAATAAAAGGACTTGAGAAGTTATTTGTATGTGAGAGAGGAAGGATAGAGGGGCTGGGGGAATCCAGTCCTGGGTTTCTGGCTGGCCTGGGTGTCTACTGATTCCACTCACTGAGGTGAGGAAAACAGGAGCATTAGCCAGGAAGAGTGATTAGTTTTGAAAAGGGTGAACATACGGTGACTGAGGCCAGGTAGGGTGATACTCAGGGAAAAAGCTAGGATGGAAGATGAGTATCTGAGACTCACCGGAAGAAAAAGTGAAATCTTAAGATCGGATAAAATCTCAGAAATATGAGCCAAAAATGGAATTCAGAGATAAACCAACAATGAAGAAATAAATCCATAAGAAGAGGTGAAAAGCAAGTAAGGAGTGCACTTCAAGGTTGATATGGCAAGGAAACGCCAGGAAGAGCTCTATCTAGGCTTGCAACCACGAGCAAGTGTCATGAGGTAACTATGCTGTCCCTCCTACCCTGCCCTCCCTGAAGAAAAAGGGGTGCTAGAGTCCTAACTCCCCAGTATCTCAGAAAGTGACGCTGATTAGAGAGTGAGTCTTTAAAGCGAGAATGACATCATTAGAGTGGGCCTTAAATCCAGCATGACCTGAAGGAGAGGGAAGGTGACATGAGGAGAACAGGGAGAGGAAAGACCTTGAACAGCCCTTCCTTCACAGTCAGACTGGTCAGACCTTCCACACCTCAATCTTGACTTCTGGCCTCCAGACCTGAGTCACTGATATTTAAGCAACTCAGTTTGTGCTGTTTTGTTACGGTTGCCCTAGCAAAAAAGGAATTTCAACTGCATGCTAGGAAAAGCCAACAAACTGGAGAGTACTGAGGTATGACAGAAAGTGAAAAAGCAAGACCACCCTTTGAGAACATCTACGTGGAGAGAGGAACTCAGCTTTATGATAACGAACACCTGATCTCAAACACAAATGGAGATCTTTTTCTAGAAAAATAATTGGCACAAAGTAGTTCACAGCCACAGAATCCTGTAATTAAAAAAAAGTCTACTGTAGTTATGTTCACAAGTTTTTGTTCTTAACTGTAATGGTCAGCATTGTCAACTTAACACAATCTTGAATCACCTGAGAAGTGTCTCAGTGAGAGGTTGTCTACATTGATTGGCTTGCCTGTGGGGGACTGTCTTAAGTTAACTGGTGTGGGCAGACCCAGACCACTGTGGGGACCATTCCCTAGGCACCATTCCCTAGGCAGGAGGTCCTGAACTGTGTAAGAGAAGAGAAATGAAGCTGAGCACAAGCTCAGCATGTGGTTATTCTCTCTCTGCTCTTCATTGTGGATGTGATGTGAGTTCCTGCCTTGACTTCCCCACTGTGATGGACCATAACCTCAAATTATGAGCTCAAATAAAACTTTTCACCTCTAAGTTGCTTTTCATCTGCGTATTTTATCACAGCAACTAGAGCACCAATTGTTTATTGATGTTTTTTCATTTCTTCACAGTTAGTCTTGTCACAGATCAGGTTATTATATAATCAAAAATCAAAGATTTTGGTTTTGTTGGAGAAATAATGGATACAAGTGAAAAATAGATGAAATTATAGGAAAGAAAGGCAGAGAGGCCCCAATGGGTCAGGATTGCAAGACAGCTTTAAAATTCTTGTGGAATAAGAAAGGAAAGAGGGGGTGTAGGCCTGGGAACCTCACTGAGAGGATGCAGGAAGCTGGTGGGGATTTTAGTCATGAAGTAGGAAGTGAGGTCATCTGCTTTGAGATGCTACAGGATTCCATATGCAGGTGAAGTGGAGACCTGGAGACCGGGGGCTGCTAGGGAGGACAAGGAGACTGTGGGAGAACCAGCAGTGCTGAGGTCCACTTAATCTTGGTGGGGACCCAGTAAAGGTGGTCTGCCCCAGGATCAGCCGAGGCTCAGCAATCTGCCAGGCAGGCATGACCAACAACAGCTGGTGTAAAGCTGAGGATACCATTAAAGAAAGGGACTGAAGCGCTGATAAACAGACATTTGATTATAGGGACAGGAAACAGGTAAAGTAGCTCCAATTCACAGTCACAAATGAAGGATCCCTTGTTTTTCAGATCAGGCTTCCCAGGAGTTTGGGTGAATGTTATTTGGCACTGTCTGCTCCTGAGGTGTGGTGATCTTAATGACAACACAGACAGAACAAAGAGGGGAAGTGACTGAAGTAGAGTGGACATAAAGGCCACAGGAGCTGAGGTCCAGGCACTGCGGGAATGGAAAGATTCTATGTCTTAATGATTGTGCCCAGCCAATGGGAAGATTACTGAGGATGGTGATGAGGTGGGTTAAACCCTGGCTGCACAGCAAAAAGGGAGTCAATTTTGTGATGCTTTGCAAGTCAGCTCCTTACTACTTCAACGAATATTTCCACATTTAGTGCCCAGGAAGAGGTGGATTTTTAAGTCTCATACAAAGAAGTCCATGTAAAGTGAGAGTTCTTAGGAGCCATGGTGTGCTAAAGTTACATACACATTATTATATTAAAAAACAATTGATGAAATTTTAGGCAAACAACATACCAGAAACTCCTGGTGGGGTCTTAATGAATTTTCCATTAAAATGAGCAATTACAGCTTCGCATTTTTCTGTTGATTCCATCCTATTTATATAAGAGGAAGACATTTATAAATATATAAAGGTCTCTTAGGGCTGTGCATATACAACTATTCTTTAACATTTTGGATACAAATGAAGTCTAGCAAAACCCATAAATATAACAAAGAGAGTAAGGTGTATTCTTTATTACAGTAAGATAACTGATGCCAGAGTACACTCTAAGTTATAAAAAACAGGATATAGTAATGCAGAATATTTCATAGCAGACATATCAAATTATGATTTCCTAATTGTTAGAAAATTGGAAATCAATACATAATAGTTTCTTAGTCATGATATTGGGTTAAAAGGCATGGTTTAGTATTCTAATACCTGTCCTGCAGGCTAGAATTTCTTTGTTTTAAAAGGTCTTTCCTTTTAGGAGTTCACAAAATTACAGACTGAAGAATCATGATAACTCTTTGTGTCAATCAGAGGGGTGTGCCTTATGTGGTTTTTACATTTGCTTCAGATTTAAAATTCAATTAGTGAAATCAATTATATACTTTGTCATTTTGATTTTGGAGGAGGAATTAAAGGCTGGAGCCTAATTTTAGAATTTTTTTACATCTACAGGTGGCTAAAAACATTTGAGAAGCACTTCTAGGGTTTTTTTTGTTGTTTGTTTTTTTGAGACAGGGTCTCCTTGTAGCCCCAGATGTCCTGAAACTCACTAAGTAGACCAGGCTGGCCTCGAACTCACAATAGAAACATCCACTTACCTACTCAAAATGCATTCTATTGCTGGACCACCCAGACAGACACTAGTTTTAACTGGCAGTGATAGTTTTTAAAAACAAAAAAATTTAATTGGATTCTGTAGGAATGATACATCTGTCTGCTTGCAGAAGAATACCATAGCAGGATGAGATGGTGCTGAGCCACTGCATGTCTCACCTGGATCATTTTTATTAATGAAGTAAGTGTAGGCTAGTGATATGTCTACAACACTTACTGGTCAAAGTGCATTTGGGTTTTTATCACAAACTGCCTGGCCCAACAGAGTGACTAAAACACAACAGAACCGAGCTGCAGCCCTTGCATTTGTGATGGCAAGGTGACAATGAATAAAGTCCCTTTTGCCTCAGTAATCTCTTATGTAAGATGATTATGTAATAAATAATGCTTTTTTGAAATCATAAGTTTGTGGTAAGATGTGACTGTCAGTGGAGTAGGAAAGAAAAATGTCAGCATTTCCCCTCCCAAATAAGTTAATAACGTCATGTATTCAGTGTCAACTGTTAATAAATTCCCAAATAATACACTGTATAAAATCCGCTTTTGAATATAGACTTTAGGATTATAAGTTTTCAAAAAATAAAGGCTCTTTCTGTTTAATAATTTTTTTCCTCTAGAAACCATATTAATACTGGCGTATCCTTTTTGGGAAGGAGGGGATAAAAATTACATAGGAGTGAGGTACTTTAGTGTCATCTAGAACATTTATTTCTTTTAAAACAATCTGAGGAATTATAAAATGCTAACAGTTATTAAGTCTATGAGGCAGTTAGGTAAAATATCCTTGTCTTACTTTTCTTAATGTTTTAAATGTTTCATTTCAAAACCTGATTAATTTATTATAAATCAAATTTCTAGCCAATGAGAAAAAATATACTGATTTACGTATAAAACTTAGAGGAGACCGGTTCTCATTTGTAGGAGGTTATAAACATCTCAAAGGAATTCATCGAACTGCCAGGACCATGTTTCAGGGCTACATCTCCTGTGACAGCACCTTGCCAGCAGGTACTTAGTGTGCTTAGTTTTGGGAATCCAAAACTTCCAAAGGTTTAGTAAAGTTTACATATAAATTTACAAGCAATTTAAGTTCACAGTACAACTGGCTCCTGTAACCCTAGCTTAAGTTTTTTCTTCTTGGGTCATTTTTCATTTTTTAGAATAATTTAGCAGAGCTACTACTGCTAATAAAGTGTGCTTACCTGGCAAAGCCAACACCACGGCTTGTACCACTGGAATCACGAAGTATTCTTGTAGAAATAACTTGTCCAAAGGGTTTGAGCATATTTTCAAGTTCTTGCTCATCCATGGACAGTGGCAGATTAGAAATGTACAGGTTAGTAGGATCTTGTTCCTGTTGCTAAAGCAGAGCAGAGAATAGTCTGTCACTTTCCAGGAGAAGGCAAGGTATTTATGTTAACATATTTTTATTCAGCCACTGTCTTTGCTCAGGTCCTTTTAAAATACTACACAGTGAGATCATGGAATATATAAAATACTCGTCACCTTGGACTTGAAAATAGTGTCTGAATCTTGTTCAAGTTAGACAGGTCGGACATGGCCCTCAGCAGATATGGAAGAGGCACCATTGGCCTGCACCAGTGAGTTAGGGAGGATGCCTGAGTAAAACCACAGCTTTCAGCAGCATGCAGTGTTTCCAAAACTAACCAACCTCTCCTCCACTGCTGTTTATAGAAGTCCAGTTCAGAAACACTGTTGTGCAGAAGGCCATTACTCCTAATAATTCAATTCAGAGGTATGTGAAGAAAGATTCTGGACTAAGCCCTGTGGAACAGGCTGGGTACAAGTTCCCCTCCTCCACTCATTGGTAAATGCCTAGCTACTTTTTTTTTTTTCCTTTTTCTCCTATTGGTAAATGCCTAGCTACTTTTTTTTTTTTTCCTTTTTCTCCTTCTTTTTTGATACATGCTCTCACTATGTCATACTCCCCCTATCTAAGCTTCTTGAGTGCTGGGAATACAGGTAGACATGTCTGCCACTACCTTCCAGTGCCATACTATTTTTAACTAGTGATCAGGGTAGAAACTCAAAGCCATGTAAAATTATATATTACGGACAGAGCAAATTTTAGAATCTTGGAAAAGCTGAACTTGAGAGTTGATGGAGAGGACAGGTTTGGTAAGTCTTTGTTCCACAAATGGTAATCAGTGATCCGGAGGCCAGTGGACTGAAGCTGCCAGGTAGTGTATAAGAAACGTAGCTCAGGCCCAAATCAGACCTGAAGAATTGGAAGCTTCATTTTAACACAATGCCCAGACAATCAACAAACAGAGTAAGTTTGAGAAGCAATTCTATTCTCCACCCAGCCTTCCTTTGTTAGAGTGGAGTCAACTGGAACCAAAGACATACAACTGAGTTTTCTGATGACCAGTAACTGTGATGCATGTGTAAGCGTGTGGTATTCAAATAACCAGGGAAAGCCTATATGACAAGAGGAATATTTTCTGATCAAATCAAAATTCATTTATGCAATTGAGATCAACATAGCCTTAACTTAAAGCCAGACTTTCCTCTTATCTTGTACATCCCCCACTCCAGTGCATGTGACTGAACCTAAGGCTGTGTGCTTTCTAGGCAAGTGCTCTCCCACTGAGCTATATCCCAGCCCTCTAATTGCATCTTTATGCTTTAAAGCATATGAGAGTTTATGATTTTTTTTAATAAGCACTATTAGTAAAGTCATTAATTCATGGCTCAGCCTTTGGCAACAAACTCATTATAAGTCTCTAGAATTCTGAACAGAATATTCTAAAAATATATGTGAAGCCTTCTTCGGCATGTTTGAATTTGTATAAAGTCTAATGTATCTTAGCATTAATTAAATGAAATCTTTCCTTTCCTATAAGTTTTCAAGTAACAACAAACACTAACCTTCTGTGCTATACTTGTCTTTTAAGATTTAAAGTAATCTAGGGCTGGGGTGTAGCTCACTATTAAGAATTCTCAAGCATGCTTGAGGCCCTAGGCTTGATCTCTGGCACTACATAAATAGATGAATATAGACAGCAAATACTGTCCCTAGTGCAGTGGCTCCCAGCCCCAATGCTTCAGACTCTTAGGGTATGTTATGGGTGGGTCTAGGAAAAAATAATTTCCAAATGCTCAACAGCAAGAGCTGAACACATTCCCTCATTAGCCATTCAAGTGCTAATCAATAATGCCAAATATCTTTGCTTTTAACTGCAGTTAGAGGAGTTCAGTATAGTACCACTGATTATCTTATGCTGAACAAAGCATCTTATTGCCAATTATATAAAGCATATCTTTAATGTCTAAAACTTAGAAATGGATTTGTTTAACAGATGCAGGACAATAATACATGTAGTGTTTCAAAATACAAGGAAATATAATAAAGTTGGTTTTAGGTTTTGAAGTTTTCAAATTCTTTAGGGGTGGAGTAAGAGGTAAAGTCTTATCCCTTTATTTCTACTTCACTTGCTGTCTCTACAAATTTCACCCAGTTAACCATACAGGTCCTCCATGAGCCATCTCATGTTGGACCTAACCTCCCCAGTCTCTAAGGCTTTGTCACTGTGGAAATCTATCTGGCATTAGCCAACATAAACAAGGTCATTTCTCCTTGTAGGTAGCCTCAATGCAGCTAATGGGCATTTCTACTTTGTCTTTTGCATCCCAGACTACAAAGCAACTATGATCCCTGTCTTGCCTTCTAACAGCTAATAGTTCAATAGGGGAGAGAGAAAACAGATGTGATCATGGCTTGACGTGTACAAATCAAGGTGGGAGGATGGATGGGGAGTTCTCTTAAGGAAATGAGGAGAGAGTTTGTTGAGAGGACTTGAGACCCCAGGCTGAAATGGACTGTGAGGAGCTATCTAAAAAGTTTAGCCTTATTTTTTCAGTCATTGCCATTAGACCTTTCTACTTCAGGAGTGTAACATCAAGGACAATGACCAGGTATCTAGAAGAACAGTGGACCAAAGTCACGGCCTTGTTCTAGCTGCAAAACTTACTTGAAGTCTTGTGCTTTATCTTATAAAAGAACAGGAAGTAAGATTCCTGTAAAAGAGTCACAGGTCAATTGTGGTCCATACCTATAATCCCAGCACTCAGGTGGCCAAGACAAGAATATTGCTGCAAGCTCAAGGCTACACAGTTGAGTTCCAAGTCAGTTAGGGCTATAGTGTGAGACCCTATCTTAATACCTACCCCCACCCAATGAGAGTTAAACTTTGCTTTCTAGTCTATAAGAATGCAACAGAGGGAGGTTTTAGAGGCACCAAAGCCAGGGAGAGCCATGGTTAAGAGTTTAAATCATGATAAGTTCAAAATAAACCTGGAGGCTAGGCATGGTGGAGTCCAGCCTGCCTAGAGAGTTCTAGGCCAGCTGGCGCTACAGGGAGGTCCTGTCTCAAAAACAACAAACAAACAAACAAAAAGACAGTCAAAATAAACCTGGGAGCTCCCCAATTAAAGGCCATTAAAATTTTTTTCAGACAAAGATAAGGCACAATGGCCTAAAAATATTTTATAAGAAATGAACAACAAAGTATTTTGGGCTTTATTTTAAAATTATAATTATAAAA